ACTGACATGAAACTGACATTCAGATTTCATAAATATTACATCTGCTTTAGGTATTTTAAAGTATTAAAATGGTACTGTTGAAACCCCCATGGTACCCCTCCTCAAATCCACTCTCAATTGATAGCAAATGATATATACAGTACCCAAATACTGGCTGAGTTATGGGTACAGTTACTGATATGTAGATTGTATTGATCCTAGGCTTCATACTTAGGATTTGGAAAAAAATTAGTCCTTTCTGAAAAATGTCATTGTTTTGTGGATAAGGGTATAAAGTGGAAAAGAGCTATGGTTAAATGAAACTTGTTATTGATCTTCTTAGGAGAAAACATAAACATGCACTTAGAGTAGCATGACACAGTTCTTTGAAATTTTGCTTTCTGCATTTTCTAGTTTATTTGAAAGCCTCATAAACAGCTATGTTTCTCATTTGGGGATTGTTTTTAGATGGCCAGAGCAAGGGGTTAGTAGTGAGAATTTTTTGTTCTAGTTTTGACTTTTAGCCTCAAAAATTAAGTGTACTCATCCAAAAAAAAAAAAAGGCCAATATGTGAGGTGATGAGCCTGTTAACTTGATGGGGGTCCTTTCACAATATATACAGATATCAAATTGTACACTTTAAATATCTCACAATTTTTTCAATTATACCTCAAAGCTACATTTTTTTAAAAAAGTAAAAGCAACAGCATGTGCAAGAGATGGGGGAAATGTCTATGCAGCTGTGTATGCCTATTTAAAACATTAACACCCCATCAATGCACATACAGAAATATATGTTAAAAATAAAGGCTTAAAAAGGGCGTAATGTTTAACCATTCATAATCTGGCTTTGCATTGTCATTAGCGCCTCGGCTCCTGCCTGCTGCAACCTAATCCCCATCTTGACCAGCGGCGAAGTGTTTGGAACGCACACAGAAATCAGCATAACTCTATTTGACAATAAGCAGGCAGAAGAGTATCTCAAAATCCTTGCGACAGAGACGCGGGACCTGGTGTCGCCCTTCCTCCGGAGCGTCTCTGTCTGCACTCGAGTGGAGGAGGCCTTCCGCCAGGCCCACGTGATCATCGTCCTGGACGACCCCACTGACAAGGAGGTGTACACGTTAGA